AAATAATTTTGTTTACAGAAAATTATGAAGCAGCACAACTGTTTTCAGCATTGATAATAATAATATTTCTTGAGCAGCAAATCAGCATATTAGAATGATTTCTGAAGGATCATGTGACACTGAAGACATTTAGTAATGATGCTGAAAATTCAGATTTGCATCACAGAAATATATTAAAATAAGAAACAATTTTTAGTGCTTTTTGTTCTTTTTTTTTTGTTGCCCAAGATAAATGCAGCCTTGGTGAGCAGAAGAGACTTCTTTCAAAAACATAACCTTACCAAACCAAAGCTTTTGAACAGTCGAGTACATCCGATTATGAAATTAAAATTATCAATTGGCTTTCATGTTGATTGCAAGGTGCCTTAGGTTTAATATGATTAGCTCAGTCTAATGATTCATACACAAATTTTTTTTTGATGGTTTAAATGGATGACCACTTGTATAGAATCTCTCAACACACAGAGAATCGACCTGCTCGGATACATGGCATTAATTATGCAAAAAGCTTATGATTACAGAAACTGCAGGGAAAACTGGTCTGAATAAAAGCAGATTAGTAATTGGTTAAAAGGGTCATGGGATAGAAAGTGTTTGCTGTTAAGGGTCAGGCCATAAGGGCAGGATAAAATGCATCTGAATGAGGTTTAATCTCAGTAGAACTCATTCATTAAGCTCTGCTGCTTGACCTTCAGGTGATGACCTTTATGTCTAACGATGGAGGTCAGACAGTTTCCAGTCCATAAATGCCATAATCTCAGGTAGAAGAGTTCATGGTTTACTAGAGACTCAAAATGTGCAATATACTGTGGATCGCACTATTATTCACTGATCAATATTTTTGCACGGGTTTGTAAGGGAAGCAGAGGAACAGGATCATTAGAATTCAGAGCGCGTGAACTGCACGCTCCATACGTTTCTGCTGATCTAAGGGTTTTGCTTGAATTTCTGGAGCCCTGGGGAATATTTCCCACTGAGAAAATCACCGGTTTCTCCTCTGTTCTGTTCTCCAAAGGCGCCGTGAAATGAGACCATAACGATTCCATTATCAACAGCTTCTGCACTTTTGCACTCGGAAAATTCCATCTTGTCCTCCATGTGCGAGAAGTTTTCTTTTCCCCCGAGGCCAAAGTCTTCTGAGCATTTTGAAATGTTTCTCGTGACCTTTACAACACCATTTTGCCCTCATATTCATCCCAGGGAAAAAATGCAATTCAAAACCAACAGTTTCACACAAATACTGCTAGAAATGAGCGATGCTGAAAAATCAAGACTTCAGAATGTAGTAAAGTTGAAATTCTATCAATTAGTGTAGAAGACCAAAGGTGGTATTTTGAAAAAAGTCTTGTTCTTTTGTCTATTAAAAAAACTGTAAAAAAAAATGACCGTTAATTTAACGGTAAAAGACTGTAAAAATGCTACAGTAAAAACCTGTTAAATGGTTAATGGTAAATTCCCCTACTATATACGGTGAAAAACTATTGGACAGTAATTTTACGATAGTATACTGTTTTTGGAAGTGAAAAAGACTGTATAATTTACAGTGAATAACCGTAAACTGACATTCCCAGAATTCCCTGCGTTAAATTTCAGATTTGATTACAATGAAAGTCAAAGGTGTCCAATGTTGTTTGGACTCGACGTTCTTCAAAATATATTTTGTGTGTGTGTGTTCAGTAGAACAAACATACAGTTATACAGGTTTAGAACAACATGATGGCACGGTATTCATTTGTGTGAGCTATTCTTTTAAGGCAGAGGTCAGATTCATGCTTTTTTTGCCGTCACAACTTTACCAATAGTGTTCCACTCTTCATTCTGCATTACTCAAACACAGATCTGAATGACCAAACATTGTTTATACTTTACTTGCATTATTGTGGCAGTAACACACTTCTTTACATAAGGTAGGATGATTGAGTTTTCTGCATATTAAGCTGGGCTACAAGAAATTATTTTAACATAAATGACACACTTCAGTTTTAACATCTTTAATAAACTTAACACCATATGTGAGGATTAACATGTAGCCGTATAGTCATTATCACAAATACCACCCTAAGAATGTTTATTTTGCTACTTGTCAAACATATAGGTGAATGCATTTGAAATATTGATTTGGAAAATATTATTATGTGAGAAGAAAGAAATAAGACACTAGCCCAGCTGTGTATATATTTACTGTTCAAATATTTGGGGTGAATAACATATATATATATATATATATATATAATTTTAAGAAAATACTTGTTTGTTTTTTTGTTGGTTTTTTTTTAGCAAGGATGCACTGAATTAATCCGTAGTGATAGTAAAGACATTTATAATCTTATAAAGGATTTCTGTTTCAAATATATGCTGTTCTTTTCTGTTCATCAAATAATCCTGAAAAAAATGTATCACAGTTTTAATGCAAATTTTATCAATGTTGAAAACCGCTGCTTAATAAGAAATATTTCTTGAGCAGCAAATCAGCATATTAGAATGATTTCTGAAGGATCATGTGACACTGAAGACTGGAGTAATGATGCTGAAAAAATTCAGCTTTGGTCATTGGAATAAATAAGTTTTAAAGGGGTCATATGATGCGATTTCATTTTTTCCTTTCTCTTTATTCAAGTAGAAAAGAGCTATTTTAAATAGTAATATTATTTCACATCATTTCTGATTTTGCTGTATTTTGATCAAATAAATGAGCAAAAGAGACCTTGAGAAACATAAAAAATCTTACAGACCATAACCTTTTGGACAGTCGTGTATGTATGTGTGTATA